GCCTTGGTAACTGGTAAGCGATGCTGAATAATTAAAAACTATATCGGGTAAGTGCTTGGTCCAAAATTCGCCAAGCCCAACACGAGTGCATAGTCTCGGCGGTTAAATGAATTGGTGTATTTTGATTATGTTGGACCGTGTCGTTTAATTAAAAACGATATCGCGAGTAAGCACAACGATACCTCTTAGAGCATCAACAACGCCGCGGTATGGGTAAAACGACACCTCGTAGAGGCTCGACAATACCGCAGTGTTGAGAATTGGTGAAAAGAATGTCGCGAACCAGGGCTACGAATTTATTATAGTTCGCGATGCTGCTGTTGGGAGTTGGAAAAGGGAGCATATTTATTTTTCCCATGTCGGAGGAAGGATCAAACCATGTCGCAAACCTCAAAGCTTAACAGCAATGCGAGACTGGGAAACGGTGTAGTTTGGCTAAAAACGTCACTATGAGTAAACCCAACGACACCCCGGATTAGAAAACGATACCGCGAGAGGTCTTGGTAAGCGATGTTGTTTAGTTAAAAACTATACCACATCGGGTTGGAGTTTGGTGAGGGCGGCCCGACAAACCCAACGACATCGCAAGACGAGAAAAACGGTATCGTTTGGTAGAGAACAATGTCGCGGAATGAAAAAACGACATTGTTCGATGGGACAGTGACAGAGCAGTTCAAGGTCGGCATCGATTAGTGAAAAGCAATGCCGCGGAAAGATTAAACGGCGTCGAGGGATGAGAATTTGACCGCGTGACAATAATGAGCGGGTTTAATTAATTAATCTGTTTAATAATTATTTTAGACGATGTTGTTTGGCTAAAAACGAAGTCGCGAGAGAAAACAACATTGCGGATTAGAATACGACTGTTTAATATAAAACAATGTCGTGGAGTGAAAAAGCAAACGTAGTTGTTTGGGGAAGAAAACCACACCGCAAGTAATCCCAACAATGCTGCGGTACGTGAAATATTAAATTAATGCGGTGTCACAAGGCTAAAAATGCCGCTAATTAAACAACAATGCAGCGGAATCGATGTCGCGGTCGCAAATTCAGCGGTGTTGCGAGTTCGACAACGCCGATAAATTCAACGATGCCGCATGGCCGAAACAACATCGCGGAGCTCAACGACGTAGTGAACTTGACGGTGTTGCAAGCTGAGCAATGCTGTGAATGGGTTCAATGACATCGTTATGGAAACTTTGTTGGTGGAGGTGTAAACGACGTCGCAGGCTTATTTTCTTGCACGTGAGATTCGGGAGTGAAGAGAAGATCAAAGCGGTTGAAGACTGCGACTCTGTGGAGAAGAGTGAAGACATGTGGGAGTTCACAACGGAGCGGCTGAGGAAGCATTTCCACGGGGCGTGAAGACTACGAAAGTGATTCAGATAAAATCACCGGACCAAGGAGAGAAAGGAGAGAACAAAGAAATCAACACAGAACAACTCTGTTAAACTTTACCTCTGTAACTCCTTCGCGGAGCACTCCTTCCAGGAAGGATCTCCACATCCATAGTCGTAGCGTAGTCGCGAAGCTCTCCACAGGAATCTCCATAGGAGTAGTCGTAACGTAGATTCGTCAAAAACTCAAACACCCTCGTTCGAACGTAGTTTGGGGAGGTGCGAACCGTAGTAACGGTCGCGTTGGTTAGAAGTCAGAGGTACATCGATCAGATCAACATCGCCCAGCAGTGAATATTTGACGGTCACATTGATTTCACCATTCAGAGGTGCATCGATCAAGTCAATATCGCACGGCGGTGGATATTTGACGATCGTCATCATTTTCAGAAGTCAGTTACACCGATCAAATCAACACCGACCGGTGGATATTTGACGGTCGTCTCGATTTCAGCAATTAGTGGTGCATCTGTTCAAACGGCACCGCAAGAGTTTCCACCGCGAAACATCGAATCAACATCGCCGGAAATCAAATTTGCCACCGGCGGTGGATATTTGGTTTCGCAAGGAAATATTTTTGCCACACCTGGTGGGACACGTGTGTTTGAAGTGAAATATGGCTCTGCGACATGGAAAACACAACTTTGATCTTCCACAAGAATCTGTGAAGGTGGAGCGTATGGCCAGCATTGAAGTTGGCCAAGCAGATAAGGCAGATAGACATATCAATTGGATGAAGGAGTGGCCCCAATCCATGTCGAGCACCAATGGGCATGTTGCACTCCTGTCTCTTCGTCGAACTGTAGAGGAGCATTACCGACAGGTAAATCTCTATTTTATCTCTTTAAATAAGCCTTGTGATTCTCTTGAAAGACATATGGATAAATTTTTTGAGATGATAGATGAACATGTTTCTGGTATTGCCAATAAGGATTTACTTAAACTTGTGGCTTAAACAGTGTCGTTAGGGGCTAGAAAGTCTTATGTTTGTTCTCCTATGAACACTATTGTTTTGAAGGACAGGAAAGTTAGACTTGTCTTGCGAAAGCCACAACAAAGAGCAAAATTCAAACGTGTTTATAATAAGTTTCAGAAAATTAGGAAGAACAAGTGTGATATCTTGAAAGATGATAAATTTTACAATATTGTTCAATCTAAGCCGCTGGGGGGCATGCCATCCCAGCTCGTGGTAGATTGAAGGAGAAACAACACCCTAAGTGGCAAATAAGTTTGCCACATCCACCCTGTTCTAAGAAAAATCTAACTAGGGTCACCACAGACACACTTCAAGATGGAGGTGGTGACCACGTGAAAAAAAAAACAATCCCGCAAGGGTTGGTATGAATCAAAAGAAGCCTCCATGTAAGTTGCCCCCAAAGACTCCCCCTAGTGAAAAGCGGGGAAAGTTCAAGCAAGCCCGACATGGAGTTGCCACACCAGTATCGAGTAGGAACAAGTCTGCTATGAATGGTAGATTGGGGGGCAAGTATAATGCTCTACAAACTCCAAAATCACGTGGGAGCTCAAAAGAAATGGTGTGGTTGTGTGGTAAGTGTCGTGGTAAACAAAGCACCCACACACTTGTCGGTGAAGCTCGTAAGCATCGGTGCTCATACTCACAACGACATGGAGAGAATGTGCAGCTGACAAAACAAGACCAGTCTGGGCAAGCGATGCCACATGGTCGATTTGGCAGGACAAAAACGTTAAAAAATTCCAATGTCCAGTCTAGAGTGAAAAACATCGGTGATTTTCCCTGCCACGACCCTATGGCTAAGATGAAGCTAAATCGAGCTCGTGGAATTTCAAACAAAGGTGTTCGAGCTCGACGAATTGGAGAGTTACAAGCCAACATTGATTTTAAAACATCAAAACCAACGTGTGTGAAACCAGTTGTGATGAGTCATGGCATTCACAGATGGCTTGTTTGGTTTGATCCGTGGAGTTGCCAGTGGGTGTGGACTTTTGGCAGGATGGTTTATGTCAAAACCAACCCTGTTTTTGTTTAGCTACTATTAAAATAAATAATGTGGCTAATTTAGGCCGCGTGATATATTTAAAAAAAAGAAGGGCCACCAGAACAATGTTGTTTGGTTGTCTAGCAAAGCAGCCGAGACAGAATTACTTGGGACCAAAATGTTGTAGTTCAGTTAAACAGTGTTGAAGAACTTTGGTGGCGCTATCAATATATATTGGTTTTCTACGAGTAAACCAATTTTAAAATAAAAAAATAGCAGTCATGAAACAATATTGTTTTGGTTCAAGCAACACTGCGCTTTAGGTTGGCAACGCCACTAACTTGGTGTTTTGTTTTTGTTCACTTGAACAACAATGTGGAGTTGGCTGTGCTGCCTTTGTTGACAGTCTTTCTAGGGTTAAGAGAGGATTCATATATCTATTTTATCTAGATAATTTATTGATTTTGTCTGGCCTCGAACGCCGTTGCAAAGCTTGCCACATAGTTGTTGGCACAAACGAAAAGGAAAAAGCGGCATTGCAGGAGATGCTACAACCATGTTGTTTGGGCCGCAATGTTGTTCTTTCTTTTTCAACAATGTGGTAGCAGGGTAGCGGTGCCGCAATATAAATATGAATTGTTGAGAGCACAGTCGTTTAACTCAAACAACATTGCTAGAGAAGGAATTATGGGCGACGCAAGTTTGTGGCTTCGTGTGTTTCATTAAGCCGCAGGGTTGTTTTTGGCCCATGTGAAATAATATCAAAACAGAGTCATTTTGGACAAAACATCATTGGAGCTTCGAGCCAAAATAAAAAATTAAATTGCGGGCCAATTTGTATGGGTGCGTAATTGGTTTGGTCTAAAACTTGGTTCCCACAGTGGCTGTGGCGATGAAGACTTGTTTTTTTATCTTTTCCATTTTGTTCATGTTAGAAATCGAACAGGGAAAAATTAGGTTACCGAATCTGGCTGAGTTCCGGACTAGGTCGCTCTCTCTTAAGAAGTTCACGACACTGCCTCGTATTGCGCACATCAGACTATCAGCCGATCGCCTCCAGGATAAAACAGCCATTCTGATTTGTTGCTCATCGGTTTTGTGCGAAAACCGGAGCTCTATAAATTCACTCTCTCTCGTGTTTCTGCTCTTCTGAGGTCTGTTTAGAGGGTCTGGAGGGTCTGCTATTTATAGGAGCAGAAAACCCAGAATATTCCCTCTTTCTTTGGGAATAAGTCACATTTTAATTAGAGAGATAATTACTCCCATAATTAAAATATAATATATTAAGATAATTAATCCTAATTATCTCCATAATATTTATTTTATTGATTATCCATCTTATTAATGTATTATGGGAAAATACTGGATAATTAATTAGGAATTTCATTTATAGCTTTTCAAAACTATTCATCCCAATATTTCATGGCCATGCTTTGAGCAAGCAAAACTGTGGAGTGTAAGGGTAATTTTGCGGCCAAATTTTAGTTTTACTTATAAAATAAAAAAATAAAAATTCAAGCATTGTCGTGTTGGCGGGCTATTGTTGGGTTGCGGGAGCAGTGGCGCAGGATAGTTTGGTTCTAGGCTGCGTGGGAATTACAATATAAACATCATTGGCAACCGTAAGGTTGGTGTTTTTTTTTACAATAAAGTTCATCTTTTATTCCACTTCCAACTCGATAAAAGCGAGATTACACTTTATCAAATGAAATCCGAAATTAGGTCAAGAATACTAATCCAGTTAACAGGGAGAGTAGCTCTAGCAAGAGATCGTGCAACCCAATCAGCTCTAACATTGACAGCACGTGCTACTGCCTTGACCTTCACTTGCGGGTTCGATCTTAAGATTGAGACCATTGATCCAATCCAGGATGCACCTCGCCAAGGCCAATTTCTTGGCTCATCCGAGAGCGCTTTGACAACCAGCTGGCAATCAGACTGGACAACACATTCCGTGTCATATTCTTGGGCTAATTTTAGACTTTCCAAAAGAGCTTTTGCTTCGGCTTCGAGTGGGGTGGAACAAAGGAGAGTGTCATCTCGCCCATCACACACTTGTCCATGGTGGTTAGTGACCACGACACCATATGCCGCCGGCTGGGAGTCGTTTAAGAACAACCCATCACAGTGAATCACAAAATTGTGATTGTATGGCGGTGGAAAATTGAGTGATTGGGCTCCCCTGAGCTGAGTAGAAGGAGAGTCATTGGGGGACTCCTCGGGCAATTAGTCCATTCCGTGAATTCCCTGTAAGTTGTCAAAATAATGTTCGGATGCCAAGGGATCCGATTCTTGAACACATATTCATTTCTAGCCTTCCAGATATTCCAACAAAGGAAAATAACATGAGTGAGGGCTCCTGGTTGGATAGAATCCTTGAGAAGGTACAACCAGTCTAAGAAAGCAGTATACTGAGCTGGCAACGGGAGGTTCGGGAAGATAACTTCCCATGATTCCCACGCATGGGGACATTGAAAGAGGCAATGGACGAGGGACTCAATCGGCCATTGGCACACTTGGCATGTAGCATTAGGGGATCATTTCCTATGAAAGAGTCTCTCTTTTGTTGCTAGACCGTTCCTGGCACATCTCCAGACAAAGAACTTGAGCTTAGGCGGGATATTCAGACTCTACATCCATTTCCATTTCTGCACATTGTCCATCGTTTGGGGATCCGTAGCTGACAAGTGAACCGGATGATACGCCGTCTTGACTGTAAACTCTCCGTCTTCATTAAATCTCCACGCCCAAAAATCCTTAGCGTCCTCCTCCTCAATCGGAACTCTCAATATAGCATCTCTTTCTGGAGGAGAAACCTGATCCTGGATCAACTCATCATTCCACTTTCTGCTTTCCAGGTCAATCCAGGTACTGACTCTTGCGTGGTTTTGTGGACCACTCTGAATGTTAGCCCTCGGAAGGGAAGGGACCCACGGATCTTGATCAATCCATGTATCATCACCGGATCCAATAACTTTAATAGCTCCTAGAACAATGACTTTCTTAGACTCCCATAGACTCGCCCAGATCCAAGATGGTTTGCTTCCTTCTTTAGCCGAGAGAAAGTTGCCTCTAGGGATATAAAGTCCTTTAATGAGACGACTCCAAAGAGCATCAGTGTTGTTGATAAGCCTCCTGGCTTGTTTGGCAAGCAGGGCCAGGTTGAAATCTCTAAAGCTTCGGAAACCAAAACCTCCCTCCGATTTTGGGGTACAGAGAATCTTCTTCCTGCACCAGTGGAGATTGCTTTTCTGCATCGACACTGACCAGAAGAATTTGCTAAGGAGAGAATCCATTTTCTTCGTCAGGGATACTGGTAGGAGGAAGAGGCACATGATGAAAGTAGGGATAGCCTGGATGACCGACTTGAGAAGGACTTATTTTCCTCCATGTGAAAGCAGCATGCTCTTCCACGCTTCCCCCATCTTTTCCATCCTTTGGATAAGGAAATATAATGTTTCCTTCTTTGAGTTTCCCCATTCCGTCGGGACTCCAAGGTATTTTGAATGGCAGTTGGAGGATGCAAATCCAATGTGATTGATGATATCATTTCTCTCTTCAGTGGGAACATTCGCGCTGAAAAAAATAGATGATTTGTGTATGTTGACTTCTTGACCAGTGATTGCCCCATATTCGTTGATGACCTCCAAAATTCTTCCAGCCTCTTGGATGTTAGCTTTCCCAAATATGACAGTATCATCCGCAAAAAGACAGTGAGTTAGAGTTGGGCATCTCAGGTTGAGCTTAATTCCCTTGATCCGTTCTTCTATGACTGCTTTGTCAACCAGAAAAGGGAGAGAATTGGACATAAGGATGAAAAGAAAAGGGGACAAAGGGTCACCTTGTCTAATGCCTCTCGAGGGGCAGAAGCTTTCCGAGGCTTCTCCGTTGAACAAAACTGAGAAGCTGACCATACGGATACAAGCGCTGAACCATTTGCACCATCTCTCCTCGAACCCATATTGCCTTAGGAGGGTCTCCAGGCACTCCCACTCAACCATGTCATAAGCCTTTTCATATCCAGCTTCAGCATCATATCCCTTCTGTTACCGAGTTTGTGATTCTTAAAATGGTGCAGGACTTCATGAATGATAATGATATTATCTTGGATTAGGCGACCGCTTGTGAATGCTGTCTGAAGCTCTGAGACCAAAACGGGAGTCCATTTCTTCAGTCGGGTAGCCATGATCTTTGAGATGATTTTGTACCTGAAATTGCAGCAGCTGATGGGTCGAAATTGGCTTATTGTATCTGGATGGTCCACCTTTGGTACCATCACAATGTGCGTATCATTCCACCCTCTAGGCATACACGCTGATTCAAAGAACTCCTTAACTTCTCTTCATAGGGTTTCACCAATAGTATCCCAATATCTTCTATAGAATTTACCCGAGAACCCGTTTGCCCCCGGTGCCTTTCTCGCTCCTAGGGAGAACACTGCTCTCCTAATCTCCTCACTTGTCACTGCTGCACACAAATCCTCATTCATCTCTTCTGTTACCATCGCTGGGAACCCCTGAAGGAGGTGGGTATACTCATTGGTATTTCTAGCCTTGAAGAGCTCTTTGAAAAATCCTACTGACAAACCCTTCAACCCTGCCTCATCTTCAACCCAATTTCCCATCTCAATGTTTAAGGCGAAGGATTTTGTTTCTATTCTTTCTGTGAATAGTGCTAGAGTGAAAGAAGGAGGTGTTTTGGTCACCTTTTTGAAGCCAAATAACTCTAGAGCACTGACTCCAAAATGCTTCCTCCTCAAGCCAAATTCTGGTCAATTCCGCTGTAAGGAGCTTTTCTTCCTCCATATTCTCTGGAATACGTGGAGGTTGCTGGAGAATCTCAAGTTTGGACACAATTTCACTCTCCCTAAGAATACTATTCTTATGGAAATCTTTCGCCCATGCCTTAAGTTCTCTCTCTCATTTGTTCAACTGATTGCTAGATAGTCCTCCTGGGTCCCATTCCCTTCATACAATCTCCTTGCATCTCTCTTTTTCCAGCCATCTCTCATCCACCCTGAACGGTGTTCTTCTTCTTATGTTTCCTTGACAGTGTAAATCAATTCTGATTGGGCAATGATCAGAAGACACCATCTTTTCATGGAACACAACCGCTTCTCCAAACATCACTCTCCAAGTTGGCGAGCACAACACTCGGTCCAATCTAACTCTAACCAAATTTGGGCTAGAGCGTTTATTGGACCACGTGAAAGGGTTGCCTTTAAATCCAATGTCGATGAGAGCATTGTCAAAAATGAACCTTTTGAAGGGTTCCACATTCTCATACCTAAGAGGGCACCTCCCTTCCTTTTCATTTTCATAAATAGCGGCGTTAAAATCCCCTACAATGACCAAACTATCATCTCTACTACTTCGAAGAGAGCTCAAATGCTCCCAAAATTCCCTTCTACCAACAACAGTAGTCGGGGCATGGACAAAAGTACAAAAGAACTTCTTCCCCATGTCGATGCTAACAACCATATAATACTTATCACTACTAATTATATTAATACAAATTCCCTCTTTCCACCATAAAGCGAAGCCCCTTGAAGAGTTGACCGGTTCTACACACTCTTTATTGGGGAAAACTTAAGACTTCTATGTTCTTCCATGAAATCTTCGTTGTTGCTAGTTTCCATTAGGAAGACAATAGAAGGGCCACGACGTCTAATAAGACGCTTAGCATAACTTCTCGTAAGGGTTTGGCCAAATCCCCTACAGTTCCAACTTACAATACTCATGGAACGTGAGGTGGCTTTTGGCGAACCACCGCTTCCCTTGTGTCACTTTCTTCTCCTTCCCCTATGCCTTCATTTGTCGATTGAGCTTTGTTCCTTTCGTGTTCTTCTTCTTTCCTCTTCCTTTAACTCCTCCTGCAAACACAGAACTTGATGGGCTCAAAATAAAACCAGGCTCATCATTAGCCCCTTGGTCAGCCTCTTCTGGGCTAAGAATAGACAGGCCCTTTCTTTTTTTGAAATTCCGGCCCACTTCTCCCTCCAGCACTCCTTGGATTGTGGACTTGAGGGCTAAAAGTCGTGGGCTCCAAATCACTGCTAGGGCGGGCCTGTGAGATGGGATTGCAAAGCCCAAGTGAGAGTTGGGTGCCCATATGCATCCTTCTCTCAGTCTGCCGCTGTAACTCTTCCATTCCCTCGAGTCTCAGCCTCCCCTGCAATGCCGCCGCCGCTTCCTCCAATTCATTCGCAGGTCTCTTGCCCCCATGTCCACTCTGTACTTCCCCTTCATCCTTCCATGGTAACTCCCTTCTTCAGCCCTTGCTTCCTCCTCCATACGATGAACAGTGAATCCCGGTGGGATTTGGGGGTGAGCTTCCTCTTCTCTTCTCGCCGATGTGAACTCTGTCGCCGCCCTCCCATCCCTGCCATCAATTAAGCCTCCCGAACTATAATGGTCCCTCCAAGCTTCCTGGTCGGTGGACGGACACCATGGTTCTTCTTCTTCAACCCTGCTTCTGCTCCCACTCGATTTGTATGGAGAATCAATCCCCGCCTTCAGCTCGGATGTGTATATATCAGACAGCTTAACATGGCCTCCCTTCTTCCTTTCTTCTTTCATTCTTGTACATGTCGGCCTGTTGTGACTGATTCTCCCACAGAAATAGCATAATTCGACAAGTCTTTCATACTTGAAAGTAATTTCTTCGCAATACTCACGACCCGTTGCTTCATCCGTGAAGGGGAAATCGAAGCCCGTCGGGACTGGTTCACTAACCTCGACCTCGGCCAACATCCTGGTGAATCTTCTATATCCATTGAAATGGAGGCTAGCTCTGTCCATATCAATGAATTTGCGGAAGTAAAAAGTCCCTATTGAGATGATGTTCTGCTCACTTCTCTGACTTTGGTGGAGACCATGAATCTGCACCCAAACCGCCAGCTTGTTCATGGGCACTGCCTCTGAATCTCCTCTGCCTTCGTACTTTGCCAGAGCCGTCATCGTGTTGGAGAGACTCCAGGGTCTTTCAAGCCAGATTTTATCCCAGATCTTGGCATCCTTAAAGGTAAAGATGAATAGATTTTGTGTTTGAGTCGGTTGGACTCCCACTTCCCCGTACTTCCCCCAGGCATACCTGACTGCTCCTGAAGCCCTTGCTTCTTTTTCTCTGTATTCCGTGGAATCTGGAAGATGGAGTGTTTTTTGTCGTATGCAGGTTTTGTATGAGGTGCAAGTGGTTTCTTTCTGCAAGGATAAAGGTTGGGATTACCCTTTTGCTGCTCCCTTCCTTCTTAAAGGCTCTCCCTCTATGCGTGATAGCACTAAATCCCCACCAGTCTTGGTAGAAATCTTTCTTTTCATTATCCCCATAAAACCTCTGTTGACTAACTCTTCACTGGTTCTGCTTTTTTTCTTCCTCAGCTGCGGAACTTGGCTCAATGTTCTCTCCACTCTGCCCCAAACAGGGGCTATAGAGAACAGGCTGCACCCTCCCCCCTCTCCTGTTCAGTCGTACCTCCCTTCTCTGCTTGAACTGACAAATAATACCCAATCTCCCACAGTCTGGTGGCTTCCAAATCCCTCCTTTCCTTATATCTATTGCAGAGCATCTCCTAAGTTGTCCAATCTCCTTCAGGCTCTTCACTACTGTTGTGTGCCTGTCTCTTCCCTCTACTTGCAGGCCATTAATACGAGGAGAACCGATGGAAGGAATAGTGAAAGAGCTCTTGGACAAAGCTGGAAAAGTCCCAGCATCGGGGACGGAAAATGAGTCGTTGGAAGCTTCAGAGAAAAGTTCCGTTAGAGAGAGAAGAGAGAGACATTTTTTTAGAGGAAAACAAAATCATAGTAATGACTGATAGTAATTATTCCGTATGGTTGGTGTTGAAAGAGGACTTTGTTCCCTCCAAAACAGTGTTGTCGCTATGTAAAAGAAAAAGTAAAAAACAAGTCAGATATATATGGCCAAGCAGTAGTGAAAATCCAAAGCATAGAAGGAAAATAATAAAATAAAAAATAAGTATTCGGAAGCAACGTTGCAATTTCAAGGCCAAGAGTGGGTGTTTTGGCTTTAACAACTTTATTTTATTATGGTTGGTGTTGAAAGAGGACTTTGTTCCCTCCAAAACAGTGTTGTCGCTATGTAAAAGAAAAAGTAAAAAACAAGTCAGATATATATGGCCAAGCAGTAGTGAAAATCCAAAGCCTAGAAGGAAAATAATAAAATAAAAAATAAGTATTCGGAAGCAACGTTGCAATTTCAAGGCCAAGAGTGGGTGTTTTGGCTTTAACAACTTTATTTTATTATTAGACGCTTGGTTGGTTGGTTTAACCTAATTATTTTAGGTGGTTCAAGTTGTTTACACCTAAAATATTTTTGGCCTGATTTCAATGCCGTAATAATGAGTCTCGGTCTTTAATTCGATGTCGCATGATAAACGGCATCGTTGAGAGACAAGCAACGTCGCGGAGGGGATAAACAGCACCGTGAGTAAGATTCAACACAAACGACATTGTTTAGGGAAAAATAATGTCGGATTCACTCGGCATGTTGGTGTTTTTATTAGAAAAGGAATGTTTTTGTTTATTCCTTGTCGGAAGAGAAGAGAAAACGACACCGCGGTAGTGGGTAAGAGTTCATCCAAAGGCTGCCCGTCAAGCCCAACGACAGCGCAAGACTAGAATACAACGTTGTTTGATGGGCTAACGATGTCGTTGGTCAAACCGGACCATGGCAATTGAGTTGTGATTATAAAACGACATTGAGTAGTGAAAAGCGATGTCGCGGTATTGATGAGCGACGTCGTGTGATTAAAAACAATGTCACGAGGTTCGTGATTTTGTCCTGGATAATGAGAACGACGTTATGTACGAATAAGGTTTATTCGCTCAGTTTACGGAGGTGAAACGGCATCGTTGCATGGACAAGGTTGTAGGATTTGGCTCAACGTCGTTTTGCCAAGTTTCTGCGTATCGGAACGGTTTCGGGGGCATGTGATTATCACGCAACAAGGAGGAAGTTACCCGCACGGTTGACAGGAATGAAGATGTGAGAGACAAAGGCGCGAAGGCGGTTACTACGACTACGGGCAGAAGATTGCGGTATAAACATCAGGAAGAGAGAGAAGCTTGGGACGACAAAATCAAATCTCAAATTGCACCGTCCCAGACTTACCCTTTTTCTCTCTAGTTTCGTAGAACTTATTTGTCAAAGACCTCCTTTGCAGAGTCGTAGTAGTCGTAGTCGCAGAGCTCTCCAGAGGAATCTCCATAGGAGTAGAGGTAAAGTAACTTAGAACACTCCTGGTTTGGTTTCTCGTTTCTCGTCGAACACCCTCGTTCGAACGTAGTTTGGAGAGGTGGTGAACCGAGTAACGGTTGTTCTTGGTTAGAAGTCAAAGGTGCATCGATCAAATCAACATCGCCGACGCCGGCGGTGGATATTGACGGTCTTCTTGGTTTCTATTTAATCGATCAAATCAACGGCGCCGAAATTTGGCGGTGGATATTTGACGGTTGTGTTTACTTTGTGTTTTGTGTTTCCTTGAAAACAAGCGCATGGGACACGCGAATTTCGCCATCGAAACAGTATCTGACCAGTGGTTCTGGTGGTGGGAGAGACTTATCATACTTCTAGGGGAGCCCTTCTCGAAGACGTCCAACGTTTTGTTTTTCTTGTTCTTATTTTAATTTCATTACTTATTCATTTGCTCCTCCTCTCACCAATAATGCTACTTGGTGGCTCAAAACTTTTTTATCAGCAGTTCGACTATTTGTCGACTTGTGCGTTTGGTTGTTTGATATACTATAACAATCTATCTAAAACACTAAAGAGGCGGGTAAAACAAATTATCTCACTTTTTTCGAATAAGCCAATTCATTTGGGATCTTGCAGATTCACTCTTTTTCCTATTCAAAGATCAGCCCTTTGTCTATGTTTTCACATCGAGAATTCTTTGCAGATGAAGAGATGTCAAAGGGGCTTCTTACTTCCCAAACAGACCCTCCTACGTCTATATATAAACGCTGGTTTATCAAGAATACGCAAGAAAAGCATTTCGAGTTCTTGATTCATTGCCAGAGATGGCTTAGAACCAATAGTTCATTATCTAATCGATGTTTCCGCTCGAAGATCTTTACTCTTTGATATAAATGAATTCTACAAAGTTTGAGGAATTCATTTTGAAATGAATCATTTTTGTGTTTGGTATTTAAAAGTATTTATTTAAAATTCTAAATATTGAATTCTATGGAATCGGAACTAGTTATATCAATTCCGAGGAATTGAGATGTAATTTCCAAATGAATTGGATAAGTATTTACTAATTATAATATAATGATATAATAATTCTCTTTTATCAACTAATTACTTATACATATGACATACCAAACACAGGAATTTATTTGACAATGAATTCTACATGACAATTCATTCTATTTTCAAAAATTTGAATATAATATACCAAACGCAAAAATTTATTTGACAATAAATTCTACATGATAATTCATTTTACAATGAAATGAATTCTTAATTCATTTGGTACCAAATGTTCTGTTATCAATATTTTTTTGCATCACATGGTGGAGAAGTTACCCAACGAAGTTCCGTGTAACCATATTCTTAGCGAGATCATCCGCCACTAAAATTAGCTTTTTTGTGGGATATGTTTTAGCGAACCCTTTTAATCTCTTCCAAGAATTCTACGACAGTTCTCATTCAAAACTTAATCCGAATAAGATGGTGGAGCTCTTCCTAGGACGAGATGGACTGCTCCTTGAGAGTTTGACTATGCTGTCATCATTGATAAAATCAATCACCCTGATTCCAGAGATAATCGGATAGGGGTCATCCTCGAGGAGGTAGTGTTGTATTCACGATTCACATTGGACTTAATATACGATTTGTAGGTCAAAGTAGAATAAGGTAGCCCATTTGGTGGCTAGAAAGGCTCTTACATTGTACCCGACTATGTGTCGTTTCTTTGATTTCCTGACTTGATTAGATTACAGGATGTAGAGATCTATTTGTTAGGTGACAGTTAGTTGACGCTTCAAAAAAGTTCGAAGTACGACACTTCATCAATATTCATCGATATCTTCTCTGAAAAACCATCAACATATCGTAGTTCCAAACCCGAGAAGTCCATGACTCCACCATGATGGTATATAATATCTAAATATTCAGTCATCTGCAATGCCAAAACAAGAAAACAAAGTTGTATTGTGACAATTTCCCCTAAACAAAGCTTTTTTGAAGTGTCAACTTACGGTCAAACGAACGGAAAGTTTACGATTAGGATATTAGATTGTTTTCGAAAAGGTTTGGCTATTATATTGTTTAAGATGAAAGGTTTGGATACTAAATTGTATTTACCTAAAGAAAAAAGACTATACTTTTATGTGTCGATACCCGACCACCAAATCAGTTTAAGTTCATCCCAAATAGAGATGTCAAAATAAAACCCGACTCGAGTAACCCGTCGGATCAACCTGCCATGTAATCCGAGTTGACTAAAAGTCAATAACTCACAACCCTTCCGACCCATACCCAATTGACCCAAAACCAAAATGGTTCACAACCCAATTAACGTGACTCAATTAACCCACAACCCGATTATATCCGAACTTAATTGACCAGAACCCGACTAACTGTGACCCAACCTTGCACGACAAGATTTCAAACCAAGCGATCACAATACTCTAGCTTTTCTAGGGGATAAGTTTTACTTCCTGGATATAGTAAGGAGACTGGAAGTTTTTAGCTACGGTGATGGTGGTTATAGGGGCGACTTGCAATGGAAATGGAACGAATATGATTGGAAGTTACTAGACAAAGTTGGTTAGCCATTTTAAGATCTTTTGACGATTATGAGTTCGAGTTGAAGTATGTAGTGGAATGTGGAGGTGAAATCATGGCAGTATTGGTGGGTGACTTTGGCAAGTTGGTTCGAGTTTATAGATTTGATTGAGAATGAAATGGATGATTGGAAGTCGACAATTTGGGATCACACATGCTATTTGTTACCACACCATGTTTCTCTACGGTGGAAAAGATTGCTTGAAAATACCATGGATGACTTCCAACCTTCTAGGAAGTTTATTTGTGTGCTTGGATTGACCCTGCTTGAGGTGATACAAATGCCATGCAGGTAGATAATAATATTTGTATTAGCATTTAGCCTACGTAATATATGTATCCATAGTTCAATTTTACTGCTACATGCAAAGCTCCGCTCGACCATTCGAAGAAATTCGAGCTCAATGGATCATAATACAAGAGTTCAGACGGATGTATGTCCAGCATGAACGATATCAATGAGGCATAACAGTACCAGTGTTTGCATGGCGAGGGAACTTGAACTTGGGATTCTGCTCCAAGAATGATGGAGGCCGCTGGTAGACCACTGATGCAGCTTTTATTAGAACTCCAGCTGTTAATCCCCATATCACATACTTATTTCCCCCGGTTTCATAATCAAAGAAATGCACTAGATACTTCTCACCCATCCACTCCCTCTCTTCTACCCTCCGATGTTCATCCTGAAGAACGAAAACCCAAGTTTTGAACATTAAGCTTTTGAAAAAACCATCAATCACCAGTAAGTAAGTTATTAAAGTTGAGGGGAGAAGTTAAGAGACCTTAATGAACATTTCCAAAGGAGCATCAAAAACTGCATCAACTTCGTCTGGATTTGGTTCAGGACTGAATGCTTCCTTATCCCTTAGAATCCCTACAACAGGAACTACTCTCAGGAGATGCTGCAAAAGAACAAGAAAGGCCAGCAAACAACTGATAAAGCTCCCTTACAAGGTGTCTTTATTTGAGCATAACTAAAGTTAATGCAAACACAATTTTTCCCTACAAACACACCCACTCTGTCTGTGTCTATGTCTATGTCGATTGTCAAAGCTAATCAATTCTCTTCCCATCAGAGATGATAGGCCATCAGATTTAGATTACCTTGGATAAGAAGGGTTCCATAACTGTAATAACATCAACCAGCGAAGGATCCAACCCAATTTCCTCTTTAGCTTCCCTGGTTGCTGTGTCTCCATCATCCTTATCACCCTCCTCAGCTTTCCCTCCAGGCAATGAAACTTCACCTACAAGCAACACAAACACATATAAAATCACCTAACATCACCGTGTTTTAACTCACAAGCTATATAGAGCACCCACTTCACTTAGATCCTTTCTTGGTGACCGAAAGTACAATACCTCAGTAAGATTCCAAGTCTCCTGTCAACGAAAACCCTAACTCTGATGTAACCATGATGTCAAGGGGAAAAACGGAATGTTAAACAATTGGACGCAGGGGAGTTCAAGTTATAACCAAAGGTCCGCGTTTGAAGTACAGTAACCACCAATTACTACACCAGGAACGCATTTGAAGTGCTGAAACCAACAATGTCATAGAACTAGACAACCAATCAAGAACTTGAATCTCCCACCCCTCCATAATGGGTCAAAGAGCACAAAGTGAGTAGATAACTTGAACTTACCAGAATGAGTGGACAATCTGGAGGATCGCTTGGTCAAGATGACACGAAACTCGCCGGAATCGCCTTCAAAGATACAGACCAGAACCGCCGCTCTTTTGGGTCTGAATCTATCGGATTGATTCGCAATCGGGGTAGCCGATTCTTGAAAACCCACCTGGGTAATCACCTTGCCGGCAGTTTCCTCCATGGCCTGCTCCTCAATTTCATCGGGCGATGCAGCTGGCGGCTCGTAGAGGCGGAGCTGTTGGGCTAGGGCCAGCAGCCGGCTCGACCCAGACGCGCTCATGGTTGTCGGAAATGACGACGGCGGTTTGGGAAGGATTGCCGGTAGCTTTGTTCGCAAGAGCGAGATCATGAGATGATGAGGACGTATAGTGGCATAGCGTAATGTATTCAGATTCCCAATTCTCCCCCTCGGAGTATTGCTCCCTCCCTTTATAAAGCAAAACTGGGAGGCAGCCACTGAAGAAACCCTTTTCTGAGATTTACTGGTTGCGATTTGATTAGTAATAGCAGGCGGCTAGGGATCAGCTGTAGCTGGGAGTGCGTCATAAAGGTGCAGACCTCTTCTGGTTAGAGAAGGCGTCCAGATAAATCCATGGAGGGAATCAATGAATCAATGAAAAGAGGAAATGCATTGCATCCCCTGTTTTATGGGTTTCTCCGCTCCGGAATGAAATGGCAGAACGGAAATAAAATAATTGTTAGCTGCACCGCAAGTGTCACACACTAGACCGGCCGGTCGTTAAATACTTAAATTCATAAAAAATGCGTTTGAGAATCAAAATGCATTTGAAAAAGGAGAAACAATGGAAAATCATCCATAATCAAAATCCAAATCTTAAACAGAAATAATCCTTATCAGTTCAACACAAACGAGCATTTATCTCAAGTCTACTATTAGGGAAATTCATTAAGTACCAGGAGTCCTGGGTTGCTCGTCACTAACCCTTCTGATGACATCCTGACCAGTAATGGTGCCCAGCCTAACTAGAGCAATTGTTCCTCGCCACTAACCCTTCTGATAATATCCTGAGCAGCAATGGTGCTCAGCCTAATTAGCGCAACTGTCCGACCATTCGCACGAACTTTGAGCCTTTTGTTTGAAGCCTTCTAGATATCCAATCTTTCATCCAATGCCTTGCATTTATAGCAATGTTGTCAGAACCGAACCGGAGCATGACCCGGTAATGCGAACGGCTCGCACTTTAGTGGTCCAACCGGCATTAGACCGTTTAAAAACCGTTAGAGAACCGGTACCTAATAAACGTTATCAGTATAAATAGTGGACATTTCTTAATCAGAGCTCATCTCTTTCCTTCGAAATTGTGAAATGGAAATAAGGATTCAATTTGAGAGCCCGACGTTTTTGGTTTTTTTCAATTTTCAATTTTCTACAATTTTTTTAATTAAATTTAGTGGCAGAATGGCAAAAACCGGACGAGCGGCTCGATCGGCTCGAACGGCTAACCGCCTCGGCCGCTCGCCAACCGCTACATAAAACCGGAACGGCTTTTAGACTGTTTCGAGCCGATTTTGTGACCGGGTGGCAGTTTTACCGGTCGGGCCGAGCGGCTCGGCTAGGCTTTAATAACACTGATTTATAGACAAACATACCTAATTTCATGTGGTAGAGGCCCCTGGACTCTACTCTCATCCATGCTTCTCGAATTGAGCTCCAAAGTAGGATTCATGATTCGGGTCTAATTGTACATGTTTTGCCCCCGTCTTACTTAGGTGTTTGTGGCAAATTCACTCCTAAAAGGTTGGTTTTATGGTAGGTTTCTCATGTTTTAGTGTGTTCCAGGGTTTAATAGGTGAAACCAGCCTCGGAGTCGAAAGTTGGACGAAAAGGATCGAAAATCGGGAGAAGAGGTGAAAAAGGGCCAGTTCACGCCTATCCCAGGAAGTTCACGGTCTTTCACGACCGTGAAGAAGAGCCCTTGATCGTGAATCTCGAGGCGTCAAGCCAAAACAGAGGTTACTGACGAAAGGTGAGTTCATGGTCACTAAGACCGTGAAAGGAGGTTGTTGACCGTGAACATAAGTGAATGAAACGGTGCGTTTTGGCACACACCTACAGTTCACGGACGCGTAACCTTGTTCACGGTCGTGAACTAAGGCCGTGAACTAAGCTCGTCTCTGGTTTAAACGACGAGCTAAAAGGAGGAGAGAGGGGAGAGCCCATTTTGTGTGAAAAGCTTTCTTCAGATTTCTAGAGAGAGAAACACGAAGCAAGGGAGAAGAAGGCTGGGATTTTGCTTCAAGGTGGATTTTGGGAAGATTTCCTCCATGGAAAGTTCAACACAAGAGCCAAGAAGATTGGGAGCATTCTCGAAGATGGTTTCCTCTTCTTCTCTTTGTGTTTTTCCCATTTCTAGCATGGAGTAGATCTCCTTTCACTTGGGTGTTGTGAAACCCTAACTCTACCATGTAGTCTCTTTTATGTGAATTGAATGATTGTCATTGGGTATTGGTTAATTCAATGATTGAGGTATTATTCATGTTGATTGTGCATGCTTATGCTTAGAAACCTAAGGGTTGTGCATGTTTTGTGCTTAGAATCCTTAGGTTTGTGCATAGTGGTGCTTAGCAACCTAAGGATTGTGCATAATTGTGCTTAGCACCCTTAGGTTTGAGCATGTTCGTACTAGCAATCTAATTAGCCACCTTAACCTAGCTTAGAGAGGAAAATCCCCCTTCCAAGGGAGACTCAATCGAGTTGGTTTTCCTTCATCTTTTTAAGCCACCTAACTAGGTTAATTTAGGGTAACCCTCAATGTTGAATTAAGCAAATCGGTAAATCGTGTTTAACTCGTCCGACCTTTGAGTTGAGTGAGGGAGTAAGTCAACTACCGATTACCTAAACTGAGAGGGCCGAGTGAAACGGCCTTTATTTTTTACCTTGGTTTAGCTATTGAGATTATGGTCTCCGACCATATATGCATCCCACTGCAGTTCGTGGTTACCTTGCCCAAAGCAATCATTCCAATTTACATATCATGGTAGTAGTTAGGGGGAAGCGACACCCGAGTGATCCTTCCACAAAAGAGTTTTCAAAAACAGTGACCTTTGCCATATTTTATTATAATTAGCAAACTTTTAAACCAAAACTTTATTGCTAGATAATGATTAAAACAACTGAAGTAGGGGTAGACAGACCGACCTGGTTTGATATCTAAAAACTTGCTCTATACTGCACCCGGCTAGAGTTTAAAAACTTGGACTCTAGTCGGGATTATATTATGGTGTAGTTTCGTGCGAGTAAAGTTTTTGGCGCCGTTGCCGGGGAAAACAGTCTGTTATCTTGAAAACATTGTTTGTTTTTAATCTAGCTTTTAATTTCCAGTTTTGCAAGTGTGTGTGCTTTGCGTATGCTAGACTTGGTGTGTTTTCCGATAGTGTGCAGGTGGTGCATGACCCAGAGTAACCCGACACCTTTGTTACCACTTGACGAGGACATAAACCAAATTCTACGGCTCCTAGCACGGGAGAGAGAGCTAGCAGAGTCAAGGAGAAGAAGTGAAAGAGGGGGGCAGCGTTTGGGTCCGAGTGTTAGTGGAGAAGAAGTTAAAGAAGTGGAAGTTGAACCCGTCGAAGTAGTAGTAAGGGCGGGGAACCAAAGGCAAGATGGCGCTCAAGCCCGCTAGTTGAACGATGCGGCGGAGGACGAGGATGCCCCGAGGAAGATGGGGTACTATATAGCCCCAAGGCCGGCAGACATTCAATCACCAATCTTACATCCTCCAGTGGCGGCAAACAATTTCGAGATCAAGCCGGATCTAGTGACTATGATACAAAGTAATGCTCTATTCCACGGCCTTGAGAGCGAGTCACTAAGAGAGAGCACGTGCAGAGATTCTTGGAGCTCGCGGGGAGCTTGAAAATTAATGGTGTGTAGGCCGAAGCTTTGCATCTAAGGCTTTTCCCATACTCACTCTCGGGGAAAGCACTTGGGTGGCTAAGAAACCGCCCACCTCGGTCAATCACCTCATGGGACGACCTCCTCAACAAGTTTATGGCTCGTTATTTCCCGCCTTCAAAGACGGCGGAGTTGAGAACGAAGAATACTGATGACTCGGTATTTGCACATGTTTTCCCCTTTGTTTCTTGATTGTTTGAGCTTGAATTATTGCATCTTTGTCCTATTTTATGCTAGGTTGTGTTCCTTTGTCACATTTCAGGTCCTAGCATATAAAGTGAAGCATAGGCGCAAGTTTCAAATCAATCAGAGATCAATTGACGATTCGGGAGAAGAAACTCGGGCATGATCCGAAGAAGAATGGATTTCTACCTCACTTTATGGACAAAGAATCATGCAAGCTTGTCATGAAAAGAAAGAGGACGAGACTACGGGCGTCTGAGATCAAACGGAGACTGATTCGGAGTTCGGACGAGGGAGAAACGAAGCATTAAACAGAGGCTCAGCAAGTCACACGGGCATCCTGGAATTCCACACGACCGTGTGGGTCGTGGCCGTGTGGAAATCACCGAGCCTTCACACGGGCAGCTGGGAAAGCCACACGGCCATGTGTCCTGGCCGCGTGATCGGGAATTTCTGTTTAAAACCTGATTTTCAGCCAAAGGAAAGTGAGAGCTGGGTTTTTGGTTCCCAAACACCCAAGGGACGAACCCTAGAGAGAGAGAGAGCGACTTGGGAACATTCTTGGAGCTATTTTGGAGGATTTCTTCGCCATTGGAGCTCGGGAATCAAGCTTGGAGATGTAGATTGGAGATCTAGATCAGATTTCTGCAGTCTCTCTCTTCTCTATGGAATAACTTCCCTTCACTTAGGTTTTGATTTGGCAGAAGTTTGTTACTTTAGCATTTTTGTTTTCCACACTTGCTTTTCACTTGGGTGTTTTTTTTGTTTTGTTGGTGCAGATCTGAATCATGGATCCTAATGGCTTCTCCAACCATTGGGGGTATCCACCACCATCCGAGTGGCATTACCCCGAGACTCCCTACAGCAATCAAGGAGGAGAAGACTATGGATTCGGGTTCCAGTACCAACCCCCTTACTACGTAGAACAATTAGACCCCTGGGCATATCAAGAACAACCTCATTACCGAGAAGAATTTCTCCCACAATCAGAAGGGCCATCGGAGCTGGAGTTACCCATGGCAGCCTTCACGGGCCATTCTGCAGAGCCATGCTACACTCCACAGCCAGATCCAAACTATCACTTGAGGCTTCTCGTAGAGCAGATTGCTCGAGTACCTGAGAGATCCTTTCCCGAGATGGATCCTCATATCTAGGCCATTGCCCAAACTGACTTCTCCTTTCCCCGTGATACAGAGGATAACCTTCGGAGCATAAAGAAGCACATAGAGGTCATTGAGAAAGCTTGTGCACAGTTTTCTCAAGACAACCTTTATGCTGCCATACAAGTAGAGGAGGAGGAAGAAGAAGGCAATCATGAGGATGTTCAAGAGCATGCAGAAGTTGTCACGGAAAGCTCCCATGATAATCATGATCAAGTGTATCCTCTGGTGGTAGATCACAACTGTCCCCATTTCCTCTCTGATATGCTGGGCCCGAGCGAGGAGATGCAAGATGATCTCATTGAAGAAATTACATGGCGACTTGCTCTCCAATCTGTGCTAGAAGAAGAAGAGCAAGAAAGGGTGCAGAAAGAAGTTGTGGAGGATGACAAAAGTGAAGCAGAAGGAGTTCTTGATCATTTACCAGGGGTGATACCACATGAAGAAGAAAGGGGGGTTGAAGAAGCGAGTGGTGTCCAGGCTGAGGATGAAGTTGAGGTGGAAGAGGCTTGCACCGGCCCTATAATACAAGTAATATCCCCACCAAACTTCGAGGAACTGCTTAGAAAGGACCCATTTGCAGTGTCTCTTTGCCAGACCAAGGCCACATCGACATCGGTCCCTCTTGGTGGACGCGATGGTGGCCAATCGATGTTGTCATATATGGTTTGGGGCAATGAGACGAGAGAAGAGAAGAAAAGGTCTCGAGGATGGAGACTTCATCTGCATCAAGTGCACGAGCTTCCATCACCAGTCATACCACATGCTCGTGACTTGCGACTCCACCTCATTGACGAGAACCTCAACTTCAAGGAGGTTCTAGCATGGACCGAAACTTAGGAGCCATCGTCT